TTTGCCTTTGCGGACTTTGGCCTTACAAGGTTTGTTTACAAAATGGAGTTAAGGCCATTTCAATTTTTGGTCTTGAACTGCTATAAATTTCCCGTCAAATGCATCTGGTTGCATCAAAAATGGTTTATTTTTTGAAAAGTTAATGCCATTAAAATTTTGACAAAATTTTGCTTGTCTCGATCATTTTGTCTATTCCCTGTAGATTAGAATAAATACCCCTCTGGAACCACATATCGTTCTCATCCATATCGTCCACTTTAAGCCAGAAGAAGTCGGTAATAAGCTGCATGTAGCGCACTCCGTTGACGGTCATCTGAGATATATTAAAGTGAGCTGTTATCCCGCCTACTGTTGGAGTTTTCAGTGCCAGCTGACTGACTTGAATACGAAACACAACAGCTTGATGAATTTTAAATTGGTGTTTGCCCACATGGTATTCCAACACATTTGTGGCGCAGTGGTTAGCGTTCGTTGATCGCATGCCGTATACACGGGTTCGAATCCAGGAAATTAATTTTTAATTATTTTTTTTTATGTTTGGATAGAATGCGGATGCACTGCAAAAATATAAAAAATATGAATTATTCGGGCCACTGATCATTTCATATTTACGTACATTAAATTTTGTTACTAATAAAGACTTGTGCGGATTCATGTGGCTTGAAAGTTCTGTCGGATCTTTATTTGAACTTTATGGAACTTGAAAGTTCTGTCGGAACTTTATTTGAACTTTATAAAGCTTGAAAGTTCTGTCGAAACTTTATTTGAACTTTATGGAACTTGAAGGTTCGGTCGGAACTTTATTTGAACTTTACGGAACTTGGAAGTGATTTTAATCGTTGAATGCGGAACTTTTTGTTACTTGGAACGGCGCTGTCTATGATCGTTAAGCTTGAGCTCCTGGGTCAATTGGATCTTGTATGGGTGCAGGCCCAAGTCTCGACGCAGGATTTGACAAGATGAAACCTGCGAGAGGTCCAGTTCTTGTGCGAGGCGTGGAATCGGATTCCGCGGATTCTCCTGCATACTTTCACGTACAGTGGCGATATTCTCTGCAGACCATGCGTTCCGTTGACGTACGAATGGTGGTTGAGCGTTGATCAAACCAGTTTCCTCGAATTTGTTCACCACATTGCGAATATTCCTCTCGGTAGGACGTTTATGGCGACCGTAAAATGGGCGAAGCGCTTGGAACGTTGCTCGTAAAGAACACTTACTTTGATAAAACAATTGTATCATTTGCACGTGCTATTGAACGCTATAACTCTCCATGGTGATTTGGCAAGACACACTGAATAAATGGCAGCTAATTTGACACTTGTAGCTTCAACAATATGGTCGCAATGAACTGTCAAAGTTAGGAAATCAATTTTGCAAAACACTTTTCATTAATTCTAAATTTAGGCTCATTCCAGGACATCATTTTGACGTAGGACTACGTCTGTGATTTCTATATGGGTAACACTTTGTAAAAATCGAAAATGGAACATGTTACAAAATTATGAAATATTTTGAAAGTTAATAGCTCAACTGCCCCTGGACCAATTTCAATAATTTTATAACCAATCGATCAGAAATATACGCATCTGTTAAAGTTACAACTTTATCATTTTTCAAAATGCCCCTATTGAAAATTGCACGAAGGTGCAACTGTTTAGTTGTTTAGTACTCTTGGAGGCGAACCAGCCTAAGGCTGAAAGCCTCCTAAATAAAGCTAAATTAATTAATTAATTGTTTAGTAGTTAAAAGTATCACCGATTGTCTGCGAAAAGCGATTTCCCTAACACAGATTTCAAAGTTATATTCCATCCGGTCTCACCAAACGGTGTTTATTCAATCACCGCGTGGTGACTGGTGGTGTTCTCCAGTACACAATGAAAGACTGCCATAAAAGGCGGAAGAAACCGCACAGCTATTGATCGGAATCAGCAGCTCTTCGTGAGTCGCTGTGGGCCATCTAGGTCAAGCGCGTCACACAAAAGAGTATAAACGGAGGGAACCCCGCTCAAGTTCAACAACAAATAAAGTTTATTATATAAGACCACGAAGTCCTACGTCACCATTGCGTACAACCCCATTGGGCTGTCCCTTGAAGTTTTTTTAAATTCAGATAGCTCAACAAAAAAAAAATGTCTCAGAGTGTGAATTGCCTATTTTCAAAGGATGATACTAAACGCATTTTTCTCTAGTATCAGATTCCATAAAATTTGAAAGGCTCGAACATTAAATTTGTATTGATTAAGAAATTTGCAATTTTCATGCCACCGCCATATTGTTATTAGGGGAAATGGCTTATAATATTATTGGCTTATAGATCTAATATTGGGCCCATTGCTAAAAATCTGCTATTTATCAATTGTATCTAGATGAACACGTCATTGGGACGGTACTAATGGATATTTTTGGTCGCTATTGAAAATTTAGTAGATTGTTGAATTTTTGTATGGGCCTAAATTGGGGGCATTAAGGCCGACATTTCATCCATTTCCCCTATTACATTTGTTTTTTTTTTATAAGATGTTTTTCCTTGAAAATCTTCGTTTTTCAAGATGTTTTTCCTTGAAAATGACTTCAATCTCATCAATGCATCAATGAACAGTAAAAGAGATAACAAAAATCATCAAATTATCTCGGCAGAACGCAATGATTAACATAAACAATAACTATACTTTGTTTTCGAAATTAAAAATAATAAGTAAAATTAACGATTTCCGAAGGTGGACTTATGTTTATCGATCTTCCGAAGCACATTTCACATAAGATTTAATCTGTTATCTAAAAATAGACCACAAAATGAGAACTGTTTTGATAATTTTGGTAATTCTTTCACTTTATGATGATTATTGACCGATTAATTTTTGAACAATGAATTTGGCAATGGGTTGATATTTATGTATCCCTTTGATGCTTTGATGATTGATGCTTTATGTTCAGTGTGTTTAGCAAGCATCTATGGCAAATGGCACAAGTATTGATGTAAAATGGCTTTTATTATAGTTTTTATAAGGATTTAAAATAATTCTCAATGCTTTCGTCGTATTATCTTTCAAAATCAATCTGAAGTGCCTCAAAAATATGCCCTTCAAATCCTTCTTCGGGGTGGGCCAACTAGACAGATTCTAGTCTAAATGGGGTTTTGGTGGATGTAATAAAGGCAAAGCTATCTTGTCCAGGGTTTTATGAATGTTGTTTTATAGTTGCTTTGTAGTACTTCATAAAACGTACAATTTTACTTGGGTTATTACATTGTTTTTCCTTTTATATCTACCTCTATTGCATTACTTTCACTTTCAATAATTCACTATTTACTTTCATTTTAATTGAAAAAACAGATTCATATTTAGTTTACTACTTGCAAACTTTTTCAGTGACTAGTCTAGTGCATTCTATAATAATTTTTGAAAACCCTGGGCTTTAAGAAAAGTTGGAAATTGTAAATGTTTATGTTTGTCTCAGAATCACACATATGTCTTCTCATTGTTTCTGATTGAATTCGTTTTTTATGTTCAGCATATCAAGAAGAATTAAAACCAATGATCGCACAAGTTCCAGTACTAGAAACTTTAAAATAAAATAATCAAGTCCCAAAATTAGTTCAACTCCTTATTTCCCAACTCAAAAATTGATAAAAATTTCAACTATTTCTGAACTACCATAACAATTTCAATGCAAACCTCCACAGTTGAATTTTCCGAAGATTCATTGAAATTTCTTTCCTGCGGAAATGTTTGCATGTATATATTTCCTTGTAATCGTTGTCGCAATTCTCTTGGAAATAACGGCAGGAGATTTGTGGAACTCTGGTTCAAATTATACCGGAATTTTGAATTACTTTCGTAAAGTTCTTGAGCTTCTCCTTACAATCGCAATGGAATTACCCATTCCCGAGTAGCATTACAAGTTTTATTAAGATTTTAAAGCACTCTACAAGTCAAAAACATGGTCTAAGAACCCTCATAAAAGCTAAATTGTTCCTTGGGCTATCATGTACTTTTATTCAGAATACCGTTGAAATTCTTCAAAGAATTCACCTGAAGTTTTCCTCACAAAACCCATTGAATACTTTTCAAAATTAGTTTGGAATTCTCATCGAAAGTCATTAAGAATACTTTTCAGAACCCCCCAGGAGTTCTCTGCAGAATGCTCTTGGAAATACGCGTAATGAATAAATAACAAGGAAATAATTGTCGTGGAAAAGTAGCTGAATTCGTCCCTTTATCTTGTCACAATTGGTGGGTGCCGTTTTCGCCAACGGGCAACTTACAATTTTAGATGCAGACTAGCTTATTTAGCCAAAATTTGCCTTATGCAGCTAATTTTTGCCTGTATAAGCTAAGCTGCAGCTAAAATTGTTTTTTGGGCCCTCACATTGCCCTTGCTTATGAGTATTGCACTTCGCTTGCCAGTTGCTACACACTGGTGACAAAGAAAGACACAGGTAGGGTAATAAACTACACGCAAATAATGCAGAAATCAACTTCTGATACCTATTGGATCATAAAATGGTACAGTAGTACTGGTAAAGTGGTACAGTAGTAATTAATCTTCATAATAACCCTATAAAGCATGGCGTCAAACTACACGACACATGACTAAACATTACTCTGAAGCAAAGCACATAGTTCGTCAACATTTTCCAATGTTTAGATACATTTGAACCGTCGCAAAAACGTCATCGATACACTGTCCAATCTCTTCCGCTCTTCTCAATAACATCTCTCCTGAGGAGAGCTTTAATTGCATCATCACACACAGTTTGGAGAGCTTTTACCCAGCATCCTTTTTACAAGGTCCTTCGCGTGAGCTCACTTGCTCCCGAATGCAAAAAACAGCTCCATCACTTCTCAATCGTGCCATTTTCCCTCCATCTCGAAAATGCTCCAAATCTCCTTCGCGCTCAGAAAAACTCAGCTGTGCCAGCGGAAAACCCGCGAGCGAGAGAATCATTCGCTCTCTGGTCCCCCCCAAAGAGCTCAGAGTAACAAAATTTTCCTCCGAATATGGGCGTCATGTCATCGTCGTCATGTATTCGCGCTGTACACGGGTGCTTTCTCCAAAAAATCATCTACTTTTTCCCGAAAGTTTTAGTTTAATAGTGATCCTCCTGCAGTAACTATTGCGTGTCACATCACTGGACGTCGGACGCGTTTGTAGCAGAGTGCTTCGGGGGCAGTGCAGAAAAAAAGGAACTGTTAATATTCATACTGGCTACTGACGGCTGTAGCAAGAAGGATAGTGGGCTGGCAACAAGCAAACCAACGGCCCCACTGGCAGCGCCCCCGGGGAAGAGTGAGATATTGGTTCGTTTCGAGTTTTTCGGATCCAGCAGTAGTTACGCGGAATACGCGGTCGTCTCGTGCGTTCATTGCGGAGGATCTTCTCGTGAACGTTTGTGTCTGCCTTGTGAAAAAAAGAGATTCTTAAATTATTCGGTTGTTGGACGTGAAGATTTTTTTTTGCCGTAAGATTTGTCGTTGAAGGTGCGAGATTAACCAGGCGAGCTTGCGAGGTGCTTCAAAGTTCTTACAAATCACCGTATAGAGGATCCTAAGAAGTAAAGCTAGTAGGACGAAAATATATGTATAGGAAAACATACACTCACTGCCTGGCGCCTAGCGAAGGATAATACTCTACGCTGTGGTACTTATATAGCAAACAACACAGTCAGTGTGACGAAAGCAGTCGAAAAAAAAAACGTACACAAAGGATCTGAAGCGCCCAGATTTCCAACCAGGACAGGGAGGAACGAGGAACGAACTATTTTCGCCATCCTTCCCGAAAACGAAAACAAGCTGTTTGCCACCAGCAGTAGCAGCAACAGCAAACGCGCTAAGGGAGCTTTTATGTAATTGTTGAAAACACCAATCTTCTCGTGCTGCTGCAGTGCGAGCTTTCCTGGACCACATTTTCGAGGATAAATATCGAAATCTACATAGTGTTAGCGTCGCGCGAAAGTGTTAAAAAAACGGGAATATTTGCGGATTTCTGTTGCTGCCATAAAACGAAGATGCAAAATTGAAGTGATTCCGAGCGGAAAGTGAACGACGACGGTGGAAGAAACAGAAGTGGTCCAAGCTTCAAGGATGCTGACGGCAGCAATAGAATCAATCCAACAGCGATGATGACGATGATCCAGATGACGATGATGACGACAACGCCAGGGCTTGGAACGAGTGCGACGAATGTGTGCAAATCTCTGTGCGATTCGCAAATATAGAAGGCAAAAGATAATTGTTAAAATAAATAGAGAGATTTCAGTGAGTGTGTCCTGAAGAGGCTTCCCGTCCCGAGGTTCGTTTCGATTTCTGTTTGGTCGCAAGTTTTACCTGACCGATCGAAGAAACGGGTGTAGTGCGAAGAATTGCGATTCTATAAAGAAGAAGGCTTTTTGATTTATTTTGCGCTTAAGGAAAGTAGAAGAAAAAGTTTTATCCCTTGCGAAGAAACGACAAAGTTGAGGATACAGATAGTAGCAGGAAGAAGATCGGGAAGAGTATGTGATGAGCTGTGAAAAAGGGTGGCATGAATAGCTGGCAAGTGATATTATACAATACTTATCCGTTACTTCGTGATAGGCCTAGTGGTGCAAAGCGTGGTTGCACCTTCAGTGATAGTGGTGCTAGTGATTATATAAATAGCAGTTGCCTGGAGCAGAAGCTCCGTAGACGGCACCATCGCAGACGTCGACGACTACGGCTGGCCAACGACGGAAGAACCACGCTCTCGCTGAACCAGTTCCCCGTGGAGTCCCCCAACAGTCAGCGCTCATTCTGGCAGCGTTACAGCAAACTCAGAGCCAGCAAAAATCACATCCGGAGCAGGATAAGTCGTGTAACGGTAGTGCCTACAAGCCAGCAAACACCAGTAACGGTGCTGCCCTCGTCGAAGTTAGTGAAGGAGGCAACCACAGCAGCGATCACAAAAACACCTTACTACTACACTGCTGCTGTGTGATCGTACAAATTACCCCAGTAGCCCCCGGGCGCAGCCACGTGACGACGACGGCTTCGTCCGCCAAAAAGCCCAGCTCAGGCGGTGACGATGGCGGAAGTGGAGGGTTAGCCACTGGTACTAGCGGGCGCACTCCTGTCTGTCGCTGTAATACGCAATACAAACTATCGGATCTGAAAGCTCTGCAGCAACTCCAACAGCAGCAGCAACAGCAGGGTGCCAACGCTAACACCAATGTCTCTTCCTCTAACACTGCCATCAGTGGCACCGTCCCCGGTAGCAGTGGTACTTCCGGAGGCCATCATCACCACCATCCCCCAATCGCCGCAACCACCATGCAGCACCATCCTCATGTCAGCGGTGCCGCGCAGAAACAGAGCCAAGAGTTAACGAACGAGGAACTGATCAAGTACCTCCAGCAAATAAACGCCGACATCAAGTGGATCGAGCAGCTAAAACAATACAAATACGAAATCGAGAAATTCTCCCACACTGACAAGACTGATGCCCGTAACATCAAACAGCAACATCAACAACAACAACAACTCGTCAATGGCCACATCGTTGGTCCACCTTCAAAACCCAAGCCGGACACCGGTGTTGCTCCGGTCCCTTCTTCAACCCAGCAAACCGGTGCCATCTCCAAAAGCGAATGTTTCGACCGTAGTCTCAAGCAGCGGCACTCTTCTCGTTCGGTAGACGAACGCACTGCTCGCCGCGATGACGAAGATTACCCCAAAGAAGGCGGTCATCAGCGACACTCTTCCGGTCCCAGTGATCTCCAACTGCTCAAAACTGACATTTCCGAATGGCTGCTCAATCTGCCGCTCAAACGAAGCGTCGAATTCCTACAAAAGGCAAAATCCGCTCAGCTCAAGTTCGAAAAAGAAAAACAGGAGCAACAATCCCTACAATACTCCAAGAAACCACTACAGAGGCAATCCTCCGGAGGCACTTCCGAACGCACCATTCATCGCCAGCACTCCGGAGGCGCAGCCACTGAAATCTCCCTCAGTCGGAACGACATTCTTGATTGGCTTAAAAAGCAGCAAATCTTCAGCAAAGTTAACGAGGAGGCTGGGGCTCCAAAAAAATTCAAAGAAAAAGAGGAAATCCCTCTGCAACACTTTGAACCCCCGAAACCCGCACAGCAAAAATCCAGTGGTGCTAAACTGCAGAAGCGACACTCGCTCGGGCCTAACGAAGAGTTCTTCCATCACAAAAGTACCACCGAATGGATCCAGTATCCACTGAAGCAGCTCAAGAAACATACCTTCGATGCCGCGGCGGCACAAAGTAGCTGTACCGACATTCGCCGCAAAGACCGGGAGCGCAGTGAACACTCGCATCATCATCATCGGGAACGCAAACTGCGACATTCTGCCAGTGAGGTTGTGACTTCTTCCCACATGGATCATCCACCCACCCGTGTTGCTCCCCAAAAACCCGAACGAACCTTCCGCTATCAATTAAAGGACCGTGAACCCCGTTCCCAATTCATCCCTGCTCAACCCCCACAACAATACCCTCAACCTTCAACCTCCACCACAATCGCAACCACCGCCGCACCCAAACACACTCGCCGCGAACGTACCCGTCGTAACAAAACCCAACGCTCGGCCACCGTCAGCGACATCAACCACATCAACAAACAACCCCCCCAACAGCATCCGCCTCAACCCGCACCACGATCCACTGAGCGCAGTCAGTCCCTATCGAAATGCACCGATCCCTTTTGTTCGGCTCAGTCCCTCTGCAATGACCCCAACTGCTACATGTACGACTACTACGACACCCCCCGTTGCACCTCCCTCCCTCGAGTCAAAACCACTACTACTCCTCCAGCCACCTCCAAGTGCGGCCCACTGTGCTACGAGTGCAATAACAAATGCAACTCCCTACCCCGCTGCACCGATGCCCGCTGTACGGCCTTCGCTGCACCGACACATTCCGCCTCAGCGCAAAAGATCAAAAGCAATTCACTGCCACGAAACGCCGAAATGGCACAAAAGCGGCTATCCCGCGAGGATTCACGCAGTTCTCTGCCTCGATCGCGAGCCAAAAAACGATCCGCCTCTAGCGGGAACGGCAAGCTGACCAAGTCCGTCTCAGCGGCATCGCTCAACTCGCGACGAAGACGCAACAAAACGGTTCACTTCGGCGAGAATCTGCTGCGAGAAGTCTGCCAGAACCGGAAACTTATTCAACCGCTGCAACAACCAACACCCTCCGGAGCTGCACCGCTGCAGCCGAACATCCAAATGCTGTACAACTTTGTCGAGGGGGTTCTCAGTGCCTGGGTGGACGACGAGGACGAACACAACAAGTCCGGCCCAGATTCGGAACCGGAACGTGGCGCGGTGATGAAGCCGATGCATCGCTGTAACCGGATACGGTTCCAAACGATCAAACGGGTAGTGAACGAAGCGGCCGAACTGAAGGGTTCGTCCAAGTTGGGCAACTCACGGTACCGACATCGGCACTGGCGCGGAACGGCCAAGGATTGCAACGAGCGGTTCCTGCGAAAGGTAGGTTTGGATGGGTTTTTTTTTGCACGGAATTAAGTGGACTTTGTCGCAACAAGTTGTTGAAACGAGGAAAACACATATTAAGCTTGATTTAAGGTGATACTCTAAGGAAGCCTTAACGTAAAACTTTAAAGGCACAGTGATACTACAAACAGAGAGTAGCAATTTCAAATTTGTATGTTTTGTGGAAGCTGAAATTTGTGCCTTTGAAGTTTCACGCTAATGCTTCCTTAGAGTATCACCTTAAGTAAATGAACTATTCTACGTAGTCGCACAAACTCATACACAGCTTAAAATAATAATGGATAAAAACTAATGCATATTGACATAGTTAAAAAAATATGTTTTTTTTTTTCATTCAATCAGCAAGTGTGTAAAGAAAAAAAAATACACATATACAGTCGAGTCGCGTAGGGGTTGTGGAGGGTGCGATCCTCAGTGGATAGCACTTAGAGGGGTAAAATCCAAATAAAAAACAACCATTTATGATTTTCCAAAATACCCTTTCACCTACTGCCCCCAGCATAGTTGTCCCATCAAAATGCCTCATTAGAAAAAGGTATTTGCCATCTTGTAAGCCACCCTACACATACTGGCTGGATTATGTTAAACTGGGTTTTTGAATTGCGGAACTGTTCAGTAAAAGTTTAAAAATCTCTGGAAAATTCGAACACGAATAAAAATATTCTGAACTTGAACAGACTTAGTTCTGTCAAAATGATAGAAATTTTTGTTTAAAGTTATTGTTTACGTTTGTTTATTCCGCCAAATAATTCCTGCGTGCTGTCATCCAGATGTTGAATTAAGCCATTAAAATCCATCATTACGCTCCCGTCCCGAATATTTTGTGTTCGCTAAAGGCATGGTTTCTCCGCAGGAGGAGGGGGAAGAGCTGAATTTTCCTCCGCTTCTGTATTCAACTCTGATTTTATATTTCGGAGTTCTTGTTCCGCTGCTGCACGAGTATTGACAACCCGTGCCTTGACACAATCGATGCTCTCTTAGTTTGCAGTGGGAACGGAATGCAAGTCCTGCGACAATTTTGCCACACTATTTTCCTCCCACCGTTCAGAAACAACGGTAGGACAAATTTTGTGTTTTTCCATTGATTACAGTAAAGGTTGCAGATATTCGCAACGAATCATGCATCGCATTGTCTGCTGCTCATCAGCGATTTGATGATATCACAGTAAACGTTGCGCTAGTTATGCACGAATACAGTACTGCACGAATTGTTTGTTTTTTTTTAACGTAGACTACGTCTTACGGGAAGGTATTGGGGGTTAATCAAAAATCTAAGATTGCAACCTTCACGAAAAGGTGTAAGATTTTGAACGCTTATAACTTTGTCATTTATCGACGAAATTAAAATCCTAATACACCAATCGATAGGAAATCTCACAATCTGCTACAAAAAAAAAATGCTTTTGCAATATTCTCAAAAAAATCGTCGAAAAATGTACAAATAAAAAGTGATAAGTTTATCACTGTTTCAATGAAATAAACGTTCTCCCCAAGCCAAGTCGTCATAATCGAGTATTATTTGGTTGCGCATCGTTTTGCTTGAACCTGTAAAACTATATAAGAGCTCTGCTGTCGTTCCTCCGCTCATTAAAGCTTCGGGCAAATCAGGAAACGGTGGTATTTTCCCTCTGCCTCTGCTGAACAATAGTGCAGTCAGGCTAGAGCAATGCTGCTGTGAATCCACTCATTTTTGCATAAGACAGACGGTGTGGTAAAACAGCAGCAGTCAGCGTGATTACAGTTCAAATAATATGAAACGTGACAAATGTTATTTTTATATAACAAACCCCCCACCCCCCCCCCCCCCCCCTCTTGCTCCTATAACGACAACCTAAAAGGAATTGACGTTATTTTTTCACCCGTTAAAAGAGCGAACAATTTCAAGTTGAGAGAAAATTTACATGGCATGTAAGCTGTACCTCTCACCGCTTCAAAATAGTGTAAACATGTCTGGTACCTCTTTATATGCAATTAGACTAACATATGAAGTCCATCCTTTTTTACATATGCTGTACAAAAGTACTTTCTGTTACGCCTCATTCATAAAAAAAAACGGCGGGAAATCCTGTCAGGGCGGGGCTTAAAAAGTTGTTTTTGTGCAGAATATGTAAAAAAGGAGGGACTTCGGATGTTGTATACAAATTACAGATGCATTACTGTATGAACTGTCAAAATGACGAACTGAATTTTGATGATTTTAGACCGCCCCTGTGTTGAAGTGAGATCCAAAGGGACGGTAAAAATTCATTTTCATCTTTAAGAAGAGCTTAACATTATTGATTGTTACAAAATTCATGCACCAAGTGGTTTACCGAGTTTCTGGGTGGGCTGTGCTTAGTTCGGTCCAACAAAAATTAAACCTCTGAAATGGGTTGGAGCGTCTTTGCGCAAATGCAAGAATGGCAAAAAGTTAGGAGATATATTAATGAATACTTGTAGTTCTAGTTGCTCATTATGTGCTTAAGAGACGGATAAATTCGGACGTTAAGCTATCCAATGAACATTTAGAATTATGATCCTGCTTGGATGTACGAATTTGTGATTGCTTGAAGTTGCAAATTATGATTGAGACTTGAAGAGTGCTTTAAAACCTCAATAAAACTTAAAATGTTACTTGGGCTGGGATGTGCAATACATGCTTGTGAACGATTTCCCACCTGAGGTATCCCACTGCGATTAAGCGTTTGGTTAAACGTGTTATCCATAAAAAATGATCAACGGAGATGGGATGGGCATTGAAGTGTGCACGGGGAACATATTTTATAACGGAGGAATAAAGACAAGCGTCCAGAAACAGTCAGAAAAAAATAATAAGGGTGAGGAAATTGACATGTCAAGGAGAGAAAATTGTGTAAATCGAGGAAATAAGCTACTTCTACTGTATCAATAATCAATATCAAAAAAAGCTCACTAAGCATCTCAACGTCAACCATGCTGTCGTGTCTTGTACACAACCCCACCATTTTGTTTCAGTTTTTTGCTCCCTCTCCTCTTCGCTATCATTCGCTGAGTTACTACATTTTGCCGTCAAGTATTCGTCACTCACCAGTTGCTTTCTTCTGCTCGAAGGCAATGCATTGGACAGCGATTCGATTCGCAGCCGAATAATATTCACAACGAATGCTTCAGAGCAATGCCTAAGATACTGGAACTGAAGAGAAAAACAATAATGAATGGTAATGTCGTTTTCTCAATGAGGCACTTAATTTTTTTTTTTCAACATTCCACAGTTAACATTCCCATACAGCATTCACGGCGAATATTCGTCGCGAATATTGACCGCGAATATTCATCGCATTGCTTCACATAGTTTTGCATGGCACGCAACTACATTCGTATCCGATCACATCAATTCATACGAACGATGCGAATTAACCACTTGATTCGAGCAGTTAAAATGACGTTTACTATCACTTGAACTTTGAAATAATTAACATTATTTTGAGATTTTTTCTTCTAGAACCACAAAGTAGCCATAATTTGTGCGTTTCATAAAACAAATAGAAATTAGTTGGTCCAGTTTTATGGAATCACTGGTAGAAAGTCACACCAAAACTGCTAGATAAAGTGGAACCAGGATATGGCCACTATACACCAAAATTTAAATTCTTTTTTAAATTCGCTTTGATCTCATGATATTGAACAAACATAGAAAAAATCGCAAGTTTCTAGGACATTTTTTATACTGTGGCCACTTTATCGGTCGTTAGGCAAGTAGAGTTTCCCTGAGGGCGTATATGGTGTCTTTACACTATATATGCTTAGTAATATCAATTTCCAGTAATATAGGTTAAGTAAAGTGTAAAATTATGTCGATAGATAGTGGCATTTCCAACTTTACCGGGAACTCCCGGCCCTCTATCTCGGTACACAAAAATCTCCGGCCAATCGATTCAGCAGAATTTTTCCTTTGAGAATATGTATAACATGTTGACTGAAACCGTTTGGCAGACAAGATATTCAATTTAGTGACAGTTTTGTCAATTTTTGGCCACTGTGCAGTGTAGGGAATATGTCGGTTTCGGCAATACCTTAACCTATTATCGTCAACAAAGTCCTAGAGCACTCAATAGATGCTCTGAAACACAATTGATCTACATGCCAAAATTGAGTCCTCCAGGGAGTTGCTTACCTCCCTGACGATAATACAATAAGGTAGTGCCGAAGCTGTCGTTTACTCTGACGGGCCATTTATCTTCCTTAGCCGTTCCCATCTCCCACGCAAAGCTACAGTGAAACGAACATAATTTTGGCATTTTTTCATATCATATCTGGCGATTTTTGCAATCTGGGATTGATTAAGTGGAGTGTTATTATACATGCTATTTTGATCATAAGCGATTACCCTGATTTTGAATTACTGTTTGGACAGACATTAGGATTTGTACTGTTGGGAATTCTAGTGGGGAATTCATCTCGATTTTGGTGAATGAAGCGAAAATTCTAGGATGAGTTTCAATATGCAATAACATTGATTTGTCAACAACTATGATTCGACACATGCGTTGAGCAGGCGCAGGGATAGTACAGTGTTACCAGTAGCTTCAACGATCACGAATGTTTCTTGCCATGGGTGCCAAACTGTGTCAATTATTGTGCCCATGTGTGCCGGAATCCGATGTTGGCACACTGTGTGGAGTGACAAACCCCTTGGGTTTTATACATTGAAACAAATCGACATGCATCGGTTATTGGATCCATCTTAAAACATAGCAATGTCAGCAGATTTATTCATTCTATGTGATAATTGATAGATTCCATTGGATTATCACTTAAAAACTATGACTGCGATATGGAACGATTTCTATCGTAATTTCACATACTTAGTACTAGATAATACTTTGCTTTGAGCGTGATTAGCGATAGATAAGATATATATGAATATTGTCTGATATATTTCATGGTGAAAAACTGGTGATATGTAATGGGTGGGAACAGACATCTAGAAACTAATGGAAAATCATATAATGATAAAA